AGTTTGCTTTGTTCTCCCAGAAGTGCATAATAGCTTGGAAATTAAGTAATTAACCTCTGCTTTCAGATTTCAGATGGAATTTCATCAAGCCTAGATGTTTTGGCTGTTATGTGGATTTGAGAGTTGTTTTGCAAAGCTTTTTTCATCGATTATTGTATGTTACCTTTAATTACTAGGTCTTCACTTGGACTGAAGAGAAATTGAAAGTGTCCAGCTATCAGTTCAGAATGAAAATGTGTTTGATTATATGCGTTGAGTGGAAGCTTTGTACCTTACCTGTCGTGAAATGGGGTCCGATTTGAGTAATTTATAGAGCCAAATAGGGAGTACTTTGTGAAGTAGCAATGTTTAACAGTAATCTTAATTTTATTGAGATAAAATTATCGTTAATTGAAATTATTATTAGAATAATTGAGGAAGTACATCTGAGGGAGAGGAGAGAGTGTACAACTTCCGAAGTGCGATCGAGAAAAACTACCTTCATTCCTCTATTTAACTTGTAGAATAGGAGTGGTTTATAACCAAGCATTGATTACCGTATGTAAAGAGCTTCCGTTCCGGATAATCTTTACTCTCTCATTACATCAATTACTCATAAGACTGAATGTCAAAATAGCAGACTCTTACAATTTTCAGATGTTAAAAATTAAGTCTAAGTTTGGCTGTTAGGTTCGAAAATCTTAGTAATAAAATTGGGAGCAATTTTCAACACTTAAGCAATGCACATATTCTTTGTGAATACAGTAGAATTCCAAACAATTTAGATGAGTTTTGGATAAAGAATTTCTTAACTGAAACATTTATCTAAGAATTATTCAAATAAGACAATCTTTAGTCTTATGAATTCACTACAAATTTATTTCGACATATTCGATTCTTTCTTCAGGTAGTTATTCTATGCATTTCAGAACTCTCTAGAGCCTTCTGCAATTAGAATTCATATATTACTGACTCATCATCTGTTCTTGATGTTCCGAAATATCTATGAAGCTTGCAGTATGTAAGGTTGCTTTTCTTGCAAGACGGGTAGGTGAGCAAGGAGTTCAGAGTACCTGGACTTCTAGGTCTTTTGAATTTCTTTGATGAGCACACTACGCATTTTAAGGTGAACTACAGGATGCTATTTTTAATTTGCAGGCTTGGGCCATAGCAGCGAAATATTGAGGTAGTAGGTCGGTCTGTTAGATGAAAAACTGTAAGAAAATTGTCACTCTTTAAAATGACTGCCCAAGGGCTGCTGGTTTGCCCGACACGGTCGTAAGCATATTACATATATTTGATAACTGTTTTGTTTGCATTACTAATTGAAATAATACAAAAATATTTGATTTTATTCATAATAAATGATGAGTAATAATGTGAAATCAATCTTTGATTATAAATATTGAATTACCTTCTGATTCACATGCAAGGAAGTATTCTTCGGCAATACTGCTGGACAAATTTTCAATGAATTCTTTATGGAGAACTGCTGATACTACTTTTTACGTTGTCAAAGTGCTGCTGGAAGGGAATACATGGAGTAATCTGTATGTTTGGTTCAGAGTTTAGACTGGGAATTATCTCATTGCAGCAATTCTGAGATTGTTGCTAGTATTGAAAACAAAGGAAAGTTTATTGAAAGACAAATATCTTTGTGTTATTTATGTTCATTGTTTTACATTTGCACCAGCAGAAACCGCCATAAAGATACTAATTCTTGTGATCTTATAGCGAGACTGTACTTTTATTCGATAAAGTAACAATTTCATTTATAGAAATTTATTTAGGTTGGATGTGTTGGTTGGAATATTGGGGTGCTACTGTCTTTTTATTATCGATATCGTTATTACAGCTGTCTTATTGAAATTCTAATTGCCAAGTTCATTGCAGTATTAAGCATTTTATAAGAATAAAGGTTTGACAAATCGAGAACTAAAAGGGAAGAATTGATTCTCTCAGTCTTTTTATCACGATAGAAAGAACTGTTGACAAATTTGACGTCACAAGCCAGGAACGAAAGCATTGGTAAGTAATTCAATCAGATGCATAAACAAGGATGAAAAGTTTACGTTATACCTTATTAGAACGAATTTAAACAAACTTATGCCGATAGATAAATTAGTTTTCGAAAAGACAGAAAGTATTTATGCAGAAAAAATACAAAAATTAAGTAATCAAAATAAGTCGAAATTTCAGAAAGAAGAGTACTCATGAATAGAAATTTAAAAATAATTGAAAGAATCATTTCTAAGGCAAATATATTAACAAAGGAATGCAAAGAAGCATTACGATTTCTTAAAGACAAAAAAGTTTGCGAGTCGAATGCTTATTCAGTAATTGTCACAAATTGCTTTGAGTAATGTTCGATATTTTTTTCTAATTGAAATAGATCGGATAAGTTCGTTGTGTGAGAAAAATCAGCAAATAATGGATAAAACGCAAAATCAATTTAAAACTTTAATTGAACTAATCAAGAAATTAGTAACGACAAGTAAGAAACCTTCCAGAAATGAAGAAAGGATTTGGTGGAAATCATTTATAAGTCAATTTGAAGATGCAACTGATAAAAGACATTACAGCTATAAATGAATTTTTACACTTAATTGGATGTTTCAAAGCAGAGACATTAGAATACGTAAGTAACTTACTGTCAGTGATTATTGGCTTAGAATAGGTAAGTAACTTAGCTGTCAATGATATTCGCTATGAGAAATTTGAAAAATAGTGGAATTATGCAGTGCGTTACAGAAATTGAGCAGGATGTAGACAAAAATTTGATAAAGGAACTACAGAACATTCTCTCCAAATTAAAAACATTAGAGGAGAACAGCGAGATAAATAAGCTGTGGACTACCATAACTGATAAGTTGCCGGATTATCTCTTTTGCTATTCTGATAAAGGAGAAGTGGACGAAGTCTCGACAATGGAAGTTATAGTAATATTAGAAGGGTAAATAAAAGTTATACAGTTCTAGAAATCACGAAAAAATCCAGCAAATGGAAATTTGAAAGAAAAGTTGCTGAGACATCATGAAATGAGTTTTTAGCTTTCAGAACACAAAGTCTAAATTTATTTATCAATAAATAGAAATGAATGACTATTTGTGCGACAGCACTCAAACCCCTCAGAAGAACCCTCAGTATGTAAGATTATGTAAAACGACCGGAGGAAAGGCAAAAAGTCTTTGATACTTTTTGCCTATTTATCAGTTCAGTTGAATGATAACCGAAAAGTAGTAGCGAGACTAGAAAAGTTAAAGGATTTGAGATGATGCAAGCAATGCTTAAGTTTCATCCAAAGAAAAATATTATTAAATATTTAAATATTAACTATTTCACAGATCAAAACAGTACGCTGTGTGACGTGCTGAGAAGGATCCGGCAAGACGGAAGTTCCATCGAGATGGAGAAGCAATCTCAAGAAAAGTCGAAAATAGAAGTAGAATTTGGTTAAGAGGACAAAACATGAAGAAACGATGTTAGTTATTCCATGCGAACAAGGAAAATTCGAGACGACATTAATGAATTTGGATATGAGAAGCGATTGCAACTTGGTCACTGGAATAATGGCCAACAAATTAGGTTTATTGTTAGAGAAATCTAGTAATTAAGTAAAGATTACAGGTATTGCTAGTAACATTAGGAACTAGAACATCATCGGGAACTATAAAGAATACTCAAACAGATACTACAGAATTGATTATGATGGTAGGAATAAGGTTAGAGAAGACATATCTGGAAATGGATCAAGATGAAAATGGCAATCAGTAAAAACGAATCCGAAAGAAAGATTGGGAGAATGAAGAGAATCATGATAACTCAGTGAACTAATAGAAAGAAAAATGTAAAGTAGAGATTATTGCAATCGAAGAATTGATGACAAGACAGAGAAAAGCACTGAATGTCGTCGTAAGTTGGTCGTAGAAAAATAAAGATGTTGTCCCGTGCCAGCAAAACGATATAGCTTAACTCAAGAAAGGTTGAAACCACAGTGAAAAGAAGTCTAACTGATTACGATGAATATTTGAATGATTTATTTCAAGATGAAATTATTGAAAAGATGAAGAAAGAATCTGCATTAGACTGTGATAAGCCCATTGGAAAACCACCTGCGAGTTTTATTTGATACTTTAGCAAAGACATACATAGATTATTGGTAGGAATAATATAACGAATAGTAGAAAAGTATTCCTAGAAGTAGTCTCTCTATAAGAATAATATGGTCATTCTTAGAGTATTCCATCAATGCATTAGGATTCATTAAAGTTTAAAAGTGTTTGGTATTATTCATGGCACAAATTAAAATGAACAGTTGTTGGTCATTAGCATGTACACTTCTATCTTATAGAATTAAACTCATTGTTTGAAATTGCTTTTGTTTTTCCTTTAGTATTTGTTTGCCATCTAAGTTACGCAGAGTTACTGAAGATGAATATGAGTACTAGATATATATGATTTTTATATCTTTAAAAGAAATTAGTATATTTCCAATATTCATATTATTAGGATTAAACTGATTTTTAGTTGGTCTACTCATAGTCAAAGTTTCTCATAATGATATTAGATAAAATTATTGTGCTGAAATTGCTGAACCAAAAATGTTACTAAATAAACAAATTATATTGCACAAATGATATCTTTGCTGTTATATAATAAAACTGTCAGATTGCTTAGATCCAATAGCATAAACTTAAATTTAAACAACACACTGAAAATCACATTCAAATGTAAGTTTTCTTTTATCAAAATTTCTACATCGAAAAATTTTATATTTCTGTATAGATTGCTTATTTTTTCCATTCTAAAATATAATTAGTGGTTGTTTAGATCAGCTCGATACTTCGGTTAGGAATTAGTAAAGCAGGAAATCACTGAACAAGTTCATGTGGAAATATTGAAAAAGAAATTATAAATTGCGGCATATTGACATGTTGTTTTAGAGAAAATGAAAACAGAATCAGATTTCCAAGAAAAAAAGAAATCATTTATTGTTGATGCTGTGGTTGTTTGAGAAATGATTATTTTTGGAACTGGACCAAATAGTCCAATTGTTGTTTTAAAGTTTGGAGAAGACTTTGCTTGCTTTTCAGAAGTTCTTCAAACATAGACTGTTGTTGTTGGAGAAGCTGCTGAAGTGAAGGTTGTTTCTGCAGGAGTTGTTGAAGAAGTTGTTGTTGTTGTTGCATAAGTTGTTGGAATTGGACTTGTAGCTGGAGAAGTTGTTGAAGAAGATTAGGTATTTGCTGAGGTTTTAGAAGCATTTGTACAACAAGTTGTTGTTGTTGCTCCACAAGTTGTACTAGAAGTTGTTGTTGCTGGAGGAGCTGCTGAATAAATGGTTGTTGTTGTTGGAATTGCTGAAGAAGTTGTTGTAGCTGCAGAAGTTTTTGAAGAAGAGATTGTTGTTTTTGAAGTAATTTTTGATAATAAGGCGGCTGTTGTAGTAATTGAATCAGTAGCACTTTATGTTGAAGCTGTCGAAAGAGTTGTTGTCCCTGTTGTTGAAGTTTTGCAAATACATCACCGTGCTGTTGAAGCAGTTGAAGATGTTGTTCTTGCTGTTGAATTTGATGTTGATAATTACTTTGATTTTGATGTCGAGACTGCTCGTGATTTTGTTTCATTTGTTTTTGAAGGTTAAGCGCATGTTCAAGCAAAGTTAATGGCTGCATTGTTTGTTTTGGAGAATGCAATTGCTGCTGCAAAAATTGTTGAAGAATAGGTTGTTGTTCTTGAAGTAATTTTTGCTGGTCTGATAGTTGTTGCAATAGAGTTTGGACAGTTTGTTGTCGCTGAGAAAGTTGCTGAAGAATAATTCGTTGTTGTTCTTGAAGTTGATTCAGAAATGGTTGATGATATTGAAGTTGTTGAAGGATAATCTGCTGTTTATGAAGAAGTTGTTGTATATTTTCACAGCCATACTGATGTTCAAGTTTCTTACTAAATTCCTGCTGCCGTTGAAGACGATCGGGAAAGTGTGAATGGTTTTTTTGTAGTTGTTCGAGTAGCTGTTGAAGTTGAAGTTGATGAGGTGCAGGGTTTTGTTCTTTCAGGAGTTTCTCGAGAAGAGACTGTTCTTTTCCTATTTGTTCGACAAGTTGCTTTTGTGTGAGAAGTTGTTGAGGAGGGAATTTTTTCTCATTTTCGGTTGACAACGCTGTCATTGTTGTTGAAGGAACTGTTCTTGCTACTATTGTCTGAGTTAATGTGAAAAAGGCTGTTGTTACTAACGTAATTCCTGGAGTTGTCGCCTAAAAAAACTAGAAAATAAAAATTACAAAATTTGTGATAGTGAAAATATTGATTTACAGAAACTCACAAAAATGCAGTTTGATCTCCTGTGGAAGGACTGAAACTAGAGCCTATCTCAGTGGAAAAAGATTGTTTCCCATAAAGAAATATTTCATTCAAAAAAATCATTCTTATTCAGACGTGAGTTTACTAGAAGTTTTACTGATTGACTCAAGCTATTTCAAGAAATTACTATTCTATTGAAGACATAGAGCGATATCAAATTGAAACAAATTTAATACCTTTGAACAAAGTGAAAAAGCAATGATAAGAAGGAAAATGATTCCTTTCTTCATTTTCACCATCTCGATTAATCGAACTAAAAGAAAGTAATTGATTGTGAATCAAAGCAGTAAATGCATTTTTAGACGAGTAAAGAAGTTTAAGCTTTAATTGACAATCAATAATACAAGTGTAGTCTTTGGATCAGCCAAGCACCAAGCAATTTATGATTCGAGAAATCTCGGTCAAATTCTTTTCTTACTTTCTATGGCAGTGAAATCCTCCCTCCAGAATCGCACAATATTTCTAAAAGGGTTTCATTCTACAAAAGAACCTTCTCCTTATGTAACTTTGAGAAAGTATGAAGAAGCATTAAGTTTTCTAATTTTTGCCCAGTGGGAAAGCCCTGGAATTGTTGTCACACTGAGTAATTTGATTTTTGTTGCAAAATTTAAAGACATTTATGTGTTAATTGTTTCATTCTGCTTCTACAGAATTTTCTAGTTGAAATGGAAATTGAATTGAAAGCTTTGTGTTCCGAAATTATATTTCTCATCCAAAACTTGGGAACAACATGCATTGCTTTGAAAAAATTCACCGTATTATTGTTCTTTCTATTAAAATAGATGAATTTTGTTACAATAAAATAAATTAAAAGAATGCTTTGATTTCTTAGTTTGTTATAATACAAACTTTTCTGATATTGAAAAACGGTTTTTGTCCTTACTCAATGCTTCTGCCTCTTTCTTTTTTTTAAAGGTATTACCAAAAACGATTAAACGGGTCGCTCATCAATTTTGGCATATCGGTGACAGACTGTTAAAGGTGAAATAAGATTGCTAATTCTGAAATAGTGTTGTACATACACATTACATTAGCATTACACAGGTGTTTGCATACTTGCATGCAGTTGAATATCTAAAATTTATTATGGGCAGTTGGGATTTATCAAACTGTGCGTAAGTCACTAATAATTTGGAAATGAAATGGGCGATGTGCTCTACACAAATTGAAAGTTTGAAAAAAAAAATTATTTACTTCTTTGAGAAGCTTATTTCATCACTGATCAGTTCTGAACTTTTTCCTTTCTTAATGTACTGTCATTTGAAACATCTTTTTCCGTTTCATTTGCTGCAACGACCGATGCTTACTGCTTGCTCTCCTTTTTTCTTATGCATTCTAGAAAGTTCAGTGATAGTTCGCTTTGTTCTCCCAGAAGTGCATAATAGCTTATGGAAATTAAATAATTGACCTCTGCTTTCAGATTTCACATGGAATTCCATCAAGCCTAGATGTTTTGGCTGTTATGTGGATTTAAGAGTTGTTTTGCAACTTTGTCTTGCAGTATGTAAGGTCGTTTTTCTTGCAAGACGGGTATGTAAGGTCGCTTTTCTTGCAAGACGGGTATGTAAGGTCGCTTTTCTTGCAAGACGGGTATGTAAGGTCGCTTTTCTTGCAAGACGGGTATGTAAGGTCGTTTTTCTTGCAAGACGGGTATGTAAGGTCGCTTTTCTTGCAAGACGGGTAGGTGAGCAAGGAGTTCAGAGTACCTGGACTTCTAGGTCCTTTGAATTTCTTTGATGAGCATACTAGGCATTTAAGGTAAACTACGGGATGCTATTTTTAATTTGCAAGTTTGTGCCATAGCAGCGAAATATTGAGGTAGTAGGTCGGTCTGTTAGATGAAAAACTGTAAGGGGTTAAATGAATTTTATCTGCCCGGATCCGAAGTTGGATGCCCGAGGTTAGTCCACTCTACCCATCGACACACTTCGACTTTCGATTCTTTAGTTGAAGATTATCTGGCGTAGAGTGAAAGATACTTAAGTTCCTTTTGCTAACATACACAAGGAGGAGTCCAATGAGGATATATATATTTGATAATTATTTCCTTTGCAACAATATTTAAAATAATACAAAATAGAAGTATTGGATAATTTTATTCATATTAAATTGTGAATAGTAGCATAGCAGCAATTTTTAATTGACAAATATCAAATTACCATTTTGATTTGCATACAAGAAAACATTCTTCAGCAGCATTATTATGATATTTCCGCATTTCATCCAATATTTTGATAAGCTCTATGCGATGCTTTTCTTTTTTAGATTGAATTGTACCTAAAGCTTCAAAAACCTGCAACAATTTAAAGTTATTATTTAATAAAAATTTCGTGAGATTATTTTAAATGATAGTAAATTAACTAAATTTGAAATTTGTTACGCATGAAAGGAAGGGTTATTAATATGTCATCCATTTGATCTAATAATATTTAAATAATAGTAATAATCATACTCCTTATACTTTGCTTTAGTTAAATTTCAATTTAAATGTGAAATATTTGTTTATTTAATTTTATTTCAATAAAAATATTTAAATTCCATTTCTCTAACCTCATCTGATTGTTCCTTAAATTTTGCAATTGCTTTATTGCAACTTTCTTTTTTTTGTTCCGTTGGATTATTCGCATATTCATGTTTTGCAAAATCCATTTCTTGTCGACGTTTAATGAGTTCTTGACGTTGATTATTTAATACTAAGATCATTATTATTTAATAATTACTATTTCTGCAAAATATTTTAACAATTTTTTTTTCTTCCTTATCAATTATTATTATTTTTTTTTGCTTAGATATCAATAATATAACATTTATTTAATAATTAGCAACTATTTTTTTCTACACAAATTATTCACTAAATAATTTTCAATCATTTATGTCGTTCAATTTTTCATTGATATTTTTTCGTTTAACCTAACCGTATTTCTTGGTTAAAAATTTTTGCTTAATTAATAATTAATTATTCTCATCCATTTATTGTTTTCCAATAATTTTCATTTATTTACCATATTTATTTGTTGTTAACATCCAGAAATTATTTGTTACTTATACAATAACTTTAATTATTCTATTTCAACATTACTAATATGACAAATAACTTATTACAGATGACTTTAATGTTAATAATTCCATCATTTATTACTAAACCCTTTCTTTATAGTTATAATATAATGTCATATTAGAATAATTATAAATCAATGATTGATATAGTAATTAAAAATCAATTATTGGTAATGAATAATAATCTTTATTATTATTCATCATCATTCATCAATATTATTCGCTATTAATCGTGATTTCATTTTTTAGTAGAATATTATGATAAATGATTATAATTAGCACATAATTATTAATTCTTACACACATAATCAACATTAATAAATGTTCGAATAAAATGAATAGCTCGACGTCCTCGTTTGCAGTAAGATCGACGTAACTCGGCTAATTTTGTGCATGCACGAATGCATGCCTGAAATTATAATTAAACTTGCAAAAGTTCAAAACAAATACCAAAAATTGTAGAAAAAAGCAAAATGCAAAATAGATTATTATTTTTATTATTATTATTATTATTATTATTAAAATATCTTTTTCTCTCTGTTCTAATTGAAGAACTTTTAACAAGCAGTAAATAGCATTAAGTTTAAAATTAAAGCTCAATTAGTTATGAACACTTATGCTATATTGATTTCCTTTTTATCGTATTTTAAAATTTTCTTTGCTGAATTTATAAATTATTTTTTTGTAACTATACGAAAAATATTTTTGATTTTCACTAAATTATTAAGTTATCAAAAGTGCATCTATCATATGTAATGATAAATAAACTTTAGTGGCATAATTAAGTTTAAAATTTTTGACATATCTAATAATTAATAATGGTAATTATAATTATATATGATTCTGTTAATTATTTTAAATTATAGAAACCTCAAGTGCTGGAATATGAGTTGAAAAATTTTCTCTCATTGCTTCTAATGAAACGCTTAATGATTCCGTAGGATCTTGATTTAATGGACATTCAAATTCCATTTTTGATTCTGCTTCAGGTACTAATTTCGGATTTTGTTGCAACACATGCATAATGCTTTCTGCTAATTTGCATAACATTTCCTTAATGAATAATACTGAAGGCAATATTTTAGCTTAAATCTACGCTTTTCTTTTTTTTTTTTTGTTTTTAAAGAAAATATATTTTCGAATTTAGCTAAGCTAAAATAATTATGTAAATATTGATTAATTATGATAAAAATTAATTTTTATATGGATAAATGGAAAAACCATTCAAAATTGCTTAAATTAGCATACACTTATCTAATATTAAGTTACTAAGCAAAATAAAAAAAAATATATTTTCAAATTTTTTTGAAAAAAAAAATGAAAAGTTCAATGAGCATTTCTTGAATTAGTCATTCGTGATTGATTCATTATGGTAATTAGTAAGTACATCATTTTATGTTATATGACTCAGATAAAGTTATTGATGAAAGTTTTTTTACCTTATAAGTGTCTGCGTCTTTCACTTGATTCAAATAATCCGGATTAAGCTCAGAAGTCTTAATAGTACCAACTTTTTCGCCTAATTTCATAAATAGCTTCCGGAATGCACCTCGTCCTTCTGGTTCCGTTTGTGGTGAAGCCATTTCCATTGGTTCTTGAATTTTATTTGCATCCTTATCTGATTGCTTCTTAGTTTCGCTAAAATTAAATTTTTCACTAAAAAAAAGAAAAAAAATAAAAATTGATAAATTACTAATTTATAAACGATATCAAAATTGCTGACGGAATTTATCAAAGAATATTTAACAAAAATTTAACGAAAATCATTAATTAATTTGAATCAATTTACACCAAATAATGACTCAGAAACCATATCATTCTTCATTTAATTTTAGCAAAAAAGTTGCTTCCATTTGATAAAAATTCAAATCATTTGATAATTCAAATTAATTATCATTGACCTTCTTTTTGCTGCCATTCCGAAAGCAACCGAATCGTTTGATAAATTTACGCAAAGTATAAATAATGATAATAACGGTTGTTTAGTTGTATTTATAACAAAAATTATTTTAACCAAAAAAAAAAAATTTTATAAAGAAATTTTTAATTCAAATCATTTTTCATTTAAACAAACAAAACGGTTTATCTATTGTTTTTATTACATTCTGATGAACTAATCATTAATTTCTGTTTATTTTATCATTAAAGCTTAAGCAATCACCAACTAATCAGTGTCACAAAT